ACCTCCCTAGACTATTTAATACCGTATTTTAAACATATATATTTGCCCACGTGGACATAAAAAATAATGCAAAATTATAAATAGTAATGTGTCCACGTGGGCACATATATACCTTTAAAATACACTATTAAATAGTTCAAGAGATAAAAATACGGTATTAAATAGTCTAGGGAGGTAATAGGTCCTTATGAAAGTTTAGTATCGCAACAGCAAATCCGACCAAAGTTAATTATATTTAATTTAGTTATTTATTAAATATTACCTTACGTCCTGCATACAAACCAAAATAAATGCCACATTAATTTTATGTCTAGTAAAAGTAATGTGATTATTAATTATATAAATTTTATTAAATATACGAATAATTTACCTCCTGATCAACTATCAAACGAACCTTTATAGTACTCTTTTAAAACCACAGATTCATCATTCATGAACCGACAAATGTATCTAATTTACTATAATTAACTGACCATATAACAGGAACCTGATAACACATAAACTACTTATAATAATAATAATAATAATAATAATAGTACCAAAAAAAAATCTTAAAATAATATTGCTCACGTACTGAGAATTAAATATTAAATAAATAAATAAATAAAAAGTGAGAAACAAAAACAAGTGACTTGGAACATTGGAAATTATCCAAAACCATCAAACTAAAATGTCTATAAATAGATAGAAATTCATTCTTATTTCCTACTTCACTCACAAAACTCAAATCATTTATTCCAAAAGCTTATAACTCTTTTACAATATTTCTAAAAGAAAAATGGCAAAAAATGTGAGTTTAGATTCAATGGACCAAAAATTAGCACTTGCTAAACGTTGCTCTCATGGTACTTTGCCTTTTATTACTTGTACCTTCACCACAAAAAAAATAATCCCACTAGAATTTTTTCATTTAATTGATAATTAATCTGATGAATGTTTTTTTTTTCTTTTTATGATTGTAAATAAATGTAGAAGGAGCAAAGGCAGGAGCAAAAGCAGCAGTTTTTGCAACAGTTGCTACTGCTATTCCTACTGTAAGTTACACTATCTATTGCCATATTTTACGTGTGTTTCGTACGATAAAAGTCATTTTTTTGAATTTTTGAAAAATTTTATTTGGTATTTGGTTGGGAAAGTGATAGATGTTCTTTGTTTTTTACTTTTAGTTAATTTTAAAAAGTGACACATTTTTGGGTTAGTAATTTCACTTTAAACTTTTCAGTTTACTTTTATTATAATGATTTATACCATATGAATGTTTATAACCTATTATTTTAGGCGACAAGTTTTAAAAGTTTTCTAGTACTAAAAATTGATACTAATTAATATTATTGCCTTCTAATACTAATATATTTGAATTATTGATGAAATTAATTAATTTGCAGTATGCTTGTGGGAAGATGTCACCATGGGCAAGAGCACATCTCAATCCAACTGCTAAAGCTCTCATTGTCTCCACAGGTATAAAAAAAAAAAAAATTTATATAAAAAAAAAAAATTATATCATCAATGAGATTTTACTTATTATAATATATCATAAATATAAAAGTCGGTTTTATTTTTGACAAATAATTATCTTTCAGGTGACTAGATATATATAGTAATATCGTACGTAAGCAATTTATTCACCCTCATTCTAGAATCTTGATAACTTAACACACCTTCTATATACATGATAAATTATTCAGATTATAGTCTTGATTTTAATTAATATACTTAACAACAATCAAACATGATATAAATTTCATATCACGATACTTTAGTGCATAGAAATTAAACTCTACGAATTATTTTTCTAATAATGGTTTATATTATTCTATATGACAGTTGCTGGGATGGCATACTTTATTGTAGCAGACAAGACTATTTTGAAAACAGCAAGGCAAAACTCCTTCAAACAACAAGGCTAATATAATTATGAAGGCTCATCAACAACTTATAAAAGCTGTTTTAGTACTAAGTTTTATTATGAAAATTTAAATTAATTACTGTTTTAAGTACAATTAGTAGGGTAGTTAGTAGGTGGAGTACTCACATGATGAGGTAATTAATTAGTAGAAACCTCAAAAAAATGTGATTTTTGTCTATGTAATAGAACCATCTACATCCTCTACTACTATAAATATAATAAACCTTGTTTTTCTCATCAATCATTAACCTTATTTATTTATTTTCACGTAAAAGCGATCAGAATTTGACTATACACTATGTCACGTTTTATTAAGAAGGATCTAATTATGAGAACAAATCTACATGACTATCACGTACATATATAATTTCCCCTCCCTTTCATGCAAAATAGACGCGAGATCTAATTTAAAATATTTTTTTTATATTTACTTATTATTTATTATTTTATTTTGATTTACCTAGAAATAGGCAAATTATCATGTACATATATTTAATTTGTCAAATCATCTTAAGATAAATTTGTATTAAATTCGAATTAGTAACCAATCTTGATATAGATGTACTCAAGAAAACTCATACAAGCAAAAAATAATAATTCAAATAGCTTTGCTCATGAGCCATATTATTATTACCAATAAAAATCATAATAAATTGTACTCCTATTCTATTTAAGTTGTTCACATTATTAAAATTAGTTGTCTCAATTAACCTATCAATTAACAAAATCAGATTTTTTTTCATTTATCCCTTAATAATTAATTTTTTTTAAAGCGTAAATAAGTTTGTAGAGTTTCAGAAAATATTCTTAAGGGGTATATAAGTAAAATTTATTCTTATTATTTATAAACTTTATATTTTCTTAAAGGACGTGTAAAAAAATGAACAACTAATATGAGATGACAAGAGTAGTGAGTAATCTTTGATATCATAGAAGTTAGGTTATCGTGCTATTAATATTTTACACATGTTTTTCTAAAAAACTATTTTCACTTTTTAATTAAACATTATTAAATATATTCTTTCTAAGATATTTAGCTAGTGTTTTGATCATAAATTTTGAAAATTTATTTTCAAATATTTGTTTGACCATAAAATTTAATCAAATTTTGAAAATATGATTTTCAAGTTTCCAGAAATTGTTCAGAGCAGTTTTTGAAAGAAATTTACTTTCATTCACAAAATTAAAGTAAAATATATGTCCAAACACAACTTCAAGTTTTAAAAAACCACACTTTCAAAAATTCAAATTTTTCAATTTCAACTTCAAAATTTATGATCAAATAGGTAGCTTAGATACCGTCCTTTACCCATTGTTTTGGCTTTCTAATTATTTATTATTATTTTAATTTCAATTTATTTGTCTTAATTACTATTAGACATACAAATGATATTTTCTTTTGACCATAAATCCAAAAACACAAATTTCCTCACTCTCATACTATACTAGAGTTATGTGCACATTGCACCCTCCAAACTTAGGAACTCAAATTCATGTACTGACAACAATAAAAACCTGAGGGTATAATGTACTAATACTAATTATTTTATATAGTAATGTAACTGAAAAAAATACCACTAAACACAAAAAAAGTGTGAAGCAAAAACAAGTGACTTTTGTACATTGGAAATTTAGCCAAAACCATCAAACACTTTTGTCTAAACTCAAAAATAAAATGCCTATAAATTAACATTCTTACTTAATTCACTCACAAATTCATCAATTTTTACAAAAGCTTATTGTTTTACAAATATTGAAAATGGTGAAGAATGTGAGTTTAGATGCAGTGGACCAAAAATTAGCCTTGGCTAAGCAATATTCTCATGGTACAATTCATCTTTCTTTAACCTTGTAATTCACAAAAAAAAACTCATCTTGATTTTCCTATTAAATTGATAAATTTGGTGAATTTTTTAATTTTATTTTTTAGTTTTAATTTTTATGATTGTATATATGCAGAAGGAGTTGTTGCAGGAGCAAAAGCAGCTGTTGTTGCATCTGTTGCTACTGCCATTCCAATTGTAAGATTTATACTAACTATATACATATACATTTCAATTTTGGGGGGGGGGGGTGTTTGTACCATGGGGTATACATACATTAGTTAAAAAGTGAGATATAATTAAGAGTTGAGATATTATCAAAAAATAATTTCTGTCCAAAACCAGTGTATTCCCACAGATAGAGTCTGAAGAAAAGAGATCAAGAGTGTATACAGATTTTTTTTACCCCTATCCGTGTGAGAGGTAGAGAGGTTGTAGATGTGTACTAACTACTAAGAAAAATATTTTCCATACAATTTATTTCGTCGTACTAAATATTCTTTAACTTCTAATATTTGAAATGATTTCCGTCCAAATTTAGTGTATTTCATAAGTGAAGTCTGACGTGGATAAAATATATACAGATTTTACCTCTATCCCGTAAAACATATAAATATTTACTAATCATTAGAGAAAAAACATTTTTCAGAAAATATTTTTGTCGTCGTATCAAATTTTGTAATATTTGAAATGAATTAATGTGCAGTATGCTTTTGGGAAGATGTCACCATGGGCAAAAACCTATCTGAATCCAACAGCTAAAGCTCTCATTATCTCAACAGCTGCTGGGATGGCATATTTTGTTGTAGCTGATAAGACTATTCTCAAAATAGCAAGGCAAAACTCCTTCAAACAAAACTAATTAAGGGTCACAATTGAATTAATCAACTATTTTAAGTATTAATTTAGAGTATATCTAATATCAACATTATTAATGTAATTTTGTTTATGTATTACGAACATCATCAACATATATTGTTGTGAAAGATAATGGAAGTTGGTTTTTCCCATGTTGATTTCTCACATAGTCATTTGATTAACAATTTTTATCTAAGGAAGTTACTGATTTTATTTTTTTTTGTAACATAAGAGTCACTTCTACTAACAATAATTATCTCAAAATTCATTCAACTTTTGGGTGTATCACCACAATAAATTAAAGATTTTGCGGCAATTACATAAATGACACTTTTAACAACTTTAGATGCAATTATGACATAATCTCAATTGTCACTAAATATTTTTATGGTAATAATTAAAAGATATCTACTAATGCTATAAATTTTTATAATATCTTTTTGACTAATTACATGAGGTGGCTATACATTTCTGATATAGTGACTCTTGAAAGATATAAAGATCCCCTCGAAGTCGTATTTATGACTTTCCACAAAATTTTATATATTTATAAAATCGAGTAGTAAATTATGTTCTCAATTTACATTAAGTATCTGTTTTTTTTCTTCATAAATTAGAATTCGAAGTAGTTCTGCCAAACTAATTATGACAGTGGAAATAATTTGATATACCTAATCTTCTTTTAAAATAAAAATGTAAGGCGAAAAAAATAAGGTCCCCAATATATATATATATCTTACGTCTTGAAGACTTTCTTTTTTTGGCTAGATCCTTTTTTTCATGATATTCAATTTTTTCCATATATATACATTTATAGTTAATTTATATTCAGCCTTTTAAATGTATCATAAAATATAGTCAATGTATAACTCATGTATAGATAATCTATTTTTAACTTTTAAGTGTATCAAAATGTATAGTTAATGCATACCCGGAAAGCTCCACAGAGTTGTCGTATGCGGGTACTACGTACGAGGCCCACGACTTTCTTGATAATCTCATTCGGGTTAAGATGTGGCTAAAGTCTTATTATATACTTTCTATGACTTTTGACCATTTAAGCATATTAAAATGGGATATACCAAGTCATCAACTTTTTGAATCAGATTCCATGGTTCTAACTCTTATCTTTATTTAATATTTGTCAACTTATTACTTATAGAATTATGTTAGCAATTCATATAAATTATAATAATTACCTCACTGAAAGGATGTTTTTCAATGTTGAGTTGATATAAAATCTTACCTAAAACTAATAACTGAAACAATAATAAATACTAATAATTTTCATCTAATTTTTTTTTGAATAAATACGTATACAAAGTTTGTTTAAATTTTAGGCCTCAAATTGAAATTTAACTTTAGGCCCCCAATTACGTTAAGTCGCCCCTGCTCTCGTCTCTTGCCTTTCTATCCCCTCTCTCGCTGGCCTCTCTTCTTCCTCCCCCAATCTCGCTCGTTACTCTCCTTCTTTTAATATCTAACTACAAATTATAATTAAATAAATCATAGCTATATCTGGTAAATAAGTCTAAACCATAGTAATTCTTAAAAATTCTTAACTAATTAACCACTAAATTGACTCTCTCCACTTGGCCACCTGTTTAAATTAAATGAGTTGAATATACAGTGTAAGGGGACCATTTATTAAATTAAATGGGTTGAGAATGTAGTACTATAGGGGTACTTCTATTAAATGCTTTTTTTTTTTAAAAAGAACAATTTTAGAAATATATAATTACCTAACTTAGCTTATTGCAATTAAAATTATAGCCCAAAAATGTTTATTTTTGAGGCAAGACAAGAATGGAACTTTTTTTGTTAGGCAGAAAATGCCCTCAAGTAAAATAATAGCTAATGTGTCTGCTACAAAACTAGTACCACTATCTAGTACTAGCAATAATGCAATCACTTCTGATATAATAATGCATATGATATAAATATATATTTTCTTTGTTTACTAAAAAAAGAACTACCTATTTTTCCGCTAAATTTTTCACTATAAATTATTTAGTGGTTATTTTCATAGATATTTCAAGAGAAAGTTTTATAATTGACATATATAAGATGAATTATTATTAGTTATGTCATTATTCTTGATCTTTCAAGTTTAAATATTAAACAATTACAGGATGTAACATTTTGTTAAATAAAAAAAAGTTATAAAATGGAATATAAATCAACAAACAAATTAAAAATAAGCGTAAAATAAGGAGAGTCATAAACGAAAAAAGCTCAAAACAGTTATTGACCTTTTCTCTCACCTGTTAATTGTCTTCCAAAACATATTTTTTTAACTCAATATTCGTCTCTCTCTCTCATCTCAAAACAATAGTCATCACCGTCTTCTCTCTTGAATTTTTTTTTGCTTCGTATTCTTTTTCATTTTATATTGTTTGCTTAAATATAAGCTTGGTATACTTTTTATATAAAAAGTGTTTACTTTTGACATGAGTTTGATATAGAAATTTTGCATATAATCGCAATGAAATTGATATATTGTCAGTTTATAATTAAAGAATGGTTACAATTAACTTGTTTGAATTTGATACCCTTCTTGGTATGAATCTTGTGTGAACCAGTGTTCAGTACTCTTGGTATGAAATTAGTATAGATATTGACAGAAAACTTGTATGCAATTGATATACTATTTATATAACAAAACACAATTACTATTTACAATTGGATTGAAATTGATATTCTTTTGGTTTGAATCAGGTAACAATCAGTATTTAAATTTGACATGAAATTGGTATAGAATTATACATAATAATGATAAGATATTGGTATACTGTTAATTCCCATTAAATAATATTTACATAATAATGATATGACGTTGTTATATTCACTCTTGGTATGAAATTGGCATAGATATCGGCAAAAAACTTGTATACAATTGGTATACTATTTAGCACCATTTTCCTTTTCTTTTTTTGCCCCTTTCGATTTGGAGGAGTGAATAGTTTATTTGATTCTTGTTTCTTCTCATTCGCTGGGTTTTGTTTTTTCTTGGAAGGGGTTACACTCTTCTTCGTCGAGTTGCATTCATTTTGGACGGCGGAGTTTGAGTTAAAATATTAAAATTTGGAGGCTCTATTTCAACATTAGATACATCCTTTACAAATCTCGAAATCTTTTTAGGTGTATGATAAATTTTTTGATTCTTCGGCATGTTTGTTGTGAACCGAACTTTTTGATTTTTGGAGTGTGTACCAGATTTGCAAGATTTTTGTTTGAATGAAGAAGCAGAACAATGAAGAAGGTGAAAGAGGGAGAAATCGTGGGTGGAAATAGAAACGTGAGTATGTGGGAGTGGGGATGAGGGTGGCGTGTGATAAGTTAAGAAAATTCGTTGAAAGGTGTAATAGATAATTACCAACTGATTCTCTCATTAATTTTATTTCTCACCTATTAACTATAATAACATTATATATTATAAATTAATTAAAATGTAACTAATTAATTTATAAATTAAAATTGATCTGTTAATATTTGCAATTAAAACTTTATAAGTAGTAAGTAATAAAAAAAAGTAGATGTTAAGGTTGTAATATTAACCCTTAAATAGATGTCTGAGGTAATTTTTTCATATTTTAATTGAATCAGAGTAAAATGAAAAAAAAATAGTAATTGTTTCATATGGAAAAATTAGGAAACTTCCCACTATTTCACTGTGAATCTATTTTCCGCCGTGCATTTTTCCAGTGAACTGATTCAATAAGAAATAAATAGAAAAATCGTGTTTTATAGCATAAATTTCTTAATAATTCACGATGAGAAATCCTTTATTTCTAATAGTGCCCACAATGTTGTTATTTTGTAAAGCCATCTGGCAACTTTACAAAACCTCTAAGGCATTATAAATAGGAATGGAGTCATCATGCTCGGTGTATAATTGGTAAGTTGAAGAAAACTTTAATTTGCAACTTGGCAGTAGAGACAATATTATTAAAAGGTATGCCCTATGTATATATATTTTATTTTATTTTTCTTATCGAGATCATTTCATGTAACAGTTTAATTTTTCAGAGAAGTAGCTTAATAAGTGAACTACTATTAATTTTTCTTCTTAAAAAGTTACCAGTAGTAATTAGTATTGAGTTTGTACAAAATTCCTATATATTAGAGAAAAATATATAGGGTATAATAATCCTAATTAATTAGTAGTAGTGGAGACAATCCTAAACTAAAATAAGTAATAAGCTATATGTTAATGAAACTTTTGCCTCTATGGTTTTGGTGTAATTATAAACTCATGATGTGTGAATTAATGATATGTACTATATGCCCCATCCCGTTGTCATTCCTATTTGTAGATCATCTAAAAAAGAGTTGATGGAACTTTGAGCTAGGGTTGCATCATGTTGATCATTCCGTTGACAAATATAGAAATTTCGTTAAGGGTGTTTAAGATTTAATACGTATATATAAAAAAGAGTTTTATATGTATTAAAAAGATTTAACACTTTTCTTTATACAAAGTACAATATCTCTCGATGAAAAATGTTTAACTGGTCACCCTTCGATCCATGTAGCTTTGCCACTGGTTAACCCTGACTAATGGAGTTGTGCACACAAACTGTTGTAGCGGATCATGAGGTTATAATTACACGTCGCTCTGGTAGTCATCATCCTACTATATGGGGTGACCATTTTCTTGCCTATGCTGATCTTTCGGTAAATAAATATTTTTATATCATCAATATATATATACAAAACAAGTTCATATGATGACTAATGTATTAATTCCCAAATAGGGAGAAAATGAAGGGGAAGAGAAGGAACACGAAGACCTAAAAGAAGAAGTGAGAAAAATGTTAGTGATGGCTCCTTCAAATTCTTTGGAAAAACTTGAACTAATCAACACAATTCAATGTCTTGGTTTAGCTTATCATTTTGAAAGTGAGATTGATGAATCATTGAATTACATGTACACTCATTATGAAGAACATTGGATTGGTGATCTTCATGCTATTGCTCTATGCTTTCGATTACTTAGGCAACAAGGTCATTATGTCTCATGTGGTAAGTATCATTCAAATTTAGAAAAAAAATCATTTTTTTCTTTCAACCTCACCATCCGACCTCGCCT